GGACGCGTGGGCCTGGTGGAGTCCAGCACCCACCCTGGTTCCCACCCCCTATCTTCCCGCTCCAGGTGCCCGGACCTGGCCGAGCTCCAAAACCCGATCCAGAGGGAGGCCCCGAAGTTTGATCACTTTGGGTTAAAAAAAGAAAAAGTTGCAGCGCTCACCCGCCCAGCCCAACTTTTTCTTTACGTGGAGGAGCCTGAGCGCCTCTCCTGGGTGGAGACTACACTTCCAATCCAGCCAGATGGGGCGCCCAAGACTGTGGCAGACGTATGAACCGAACCGAGGACCCGCCTGCTACCCTCCTGGGGACGACAGATTGGCACGAATGCCTAACTGGGGTGTAGCTTCCAAGCGGGCCCCAAAGGCTTGGACATGGGACATCTGGGTTAGGGATCAGGCGAGGTCTGGCTCCAAACACCCACCCCTCTCTAGGGCCTTCGGGCTTCCCCAGGCCTGGGAGGCTGCCCTGAAGCCTGACTCATCCTATCAGCCTCCTCCAGGGCTGCAGGGCTTGGATTTAGAAAGAAGGAATCAAAGTGCATTAAGAAGGCTTTCAAATTTCAAACGTTGAGCCTCCCGCTGCCTTTAAACAAATGCTTCAGCCTGCTTCAGCCGGCCAGGATGCCAGGCAGGGCTAGGATCCCTCTCCGGGTCTCTCTGCAGACTCTGTGAAATTCCCATCGCCCCTCAATGGAGTCCTCCTGGAAACGGCAGGGGCCGGGTCAGCACTAACTGGAGGGTTACGCTGTTCATCTCCGTGTCTGCCACATGGGCTCCTGTCTTCTGCAGGTGCCAAATAATTGCACAGAAAACAGTGACAGGGTCTGCGAATGTGCTGAGATGCAGTAAGTAGAGCACAGGTTTGGTGCTAGCTTTTACAGCTGTCCTTTGATTTTCTTTTTTGCAACTTTGTATAAATGATGTATGTGATGAGGGAAGTGTGTGTGTGTGTGTGTGTGTGAGTTGGGAGCGGTAGAGACAGAGCCGTGTGCCTGTGGGGTGTGTGTACGTGTGCATGTGTACCTACGCGGGCTGTGTGTGCATGTGCAGTAGGGGTGTGCGTGTGTGAGAGCGGCGTGCATGCAGGTCTCTGGAGCCGCTGGCCCTCTGCTCTCCCACACACCTCAGGGAATGGGGAATTCACCCCACACTCCTTCAACCCCTGCAGCACTGCACACGGCGGGACGGCTTCTCCCTAAAGAGTGGGGTGCTGGCCTGGGGATCGCCAGATAGCACGAGCGTCCCAGGCTCCTTTCCTGACAGTCACAAGCACGTGTCTGTGCCGTCAGCCAGCCCTACAGACGCTTGTCACTCAGAACCAGTGACACTGGCCAGGGTGAGGACAGGTGGTCTCCCAAGAGCTGAAAGTCAGGTGACTTCCCACGGTGCCGCGCGGACGGCATAGGAGCGCTGGAGGGTGGCCTGTGTGGTGACAGAACGTGGGTGCTACCCGCATCCTAGCCTGGAGCTGGGTGAGGGGGCCAGAAGGTCAGAGAAGTCCCCACGCTGGGCATCCTGACTCTGGTCACAATGAGGCCTTTGCTAGTATTAAGCCTCAGCAGCCATGAGGGAGTCTGTCACTACTCTTACTTGCAGATGAGGAAATTGGGGGCAGAGAGGGTGAGTGACTCCCCCAAAGTGCCAACTGATGGCAGAGTGTGACATGGCACTCTGGCGTGGGTGGGCAAACCCCCATGTGGAGCCCTGCACTCTGGGGTGACCCTGTGAGCTGCCATCTCTGTGTCCCTACGGCACCTAGCAGGGAGGGGGCAGCAGGGGGGCCCCATGCTGTGCACCTGCGTGCCAGTTCTTTTGCTGTATGCTTCTTCTCGTTAGGTGCTTTAGAAGTGGTGGCAGGGTGGCGGCCCTGGGCAGAGGACCCATGACTAGTGTCAAGGGCTGCCCTTCCTAGGGGGTCCCACCAGCCTGCTAGAGGCCTTCCCTGGCTGGGAAATGGCCGGCCCCTCCCCACGTTGAGGAGCCTGGGACCTTTGTTCCTTTCGCTCTTACAGGTACAACTGCAGGTCCCGCCAAGGACCCAGCCAGGCTCAGCCCCAAGAGGTGATGGTCCTTTGGGGCATAAACGTGGCTCTGTGGCATGGGTGGAATTGCCAGCACCAGTAGGAGCAACTTGGGGTGAGCTCCTCGGCTGCCCAAGGGAAAACTCCAGGCTGGTATCCTTCAGCTGGTGTGCAGGTGCCAGGCCAGCGTCACTGTCACACACAAGCCAGCGGCTCGGGCCACCATCCTGGAGACCTTGAGCACAAGAGTTCTCACCTCTGAGATGTTTGCCATCCATGAACTGGGGGTGATGGAGCTGTGCCCCCTCTTCTTATCAGGACACCAGGCAGGTCAGACAGGAGCCACCCCGGAGCCTCCTGAAGCCTGCATTTCCTCTGCAAAGTCCCAGTCTCCGGGCACAGCCACCTGCTGGGGTCCTGGGGTCCCGGCTGCAGCAGGAACCCTAAGGTGATGGAATTCAGCCCAGAACATATTGGCAGCCTCAGCCTAGGAGCTGTCTGGGGACACTCAGAGATGGGAGGGCCCTTGCTGGGGGCATGAAAGGAAAGTCAGCCCACTCAGGCCCTCTCTTGCCATTGGCCTCTGAGGCTCGGTACGGGGTGGGCAGGAGGAGGCCCTGTGAAGCAGGGAGGAGCCCTGACCTCTGATGGGCACCCTGCCCCCTGGCTGCTTGTCTCTTCTGGCACTGAGCCCCTCTCTACAGGGACACTGTGCTCCCCGGGCGTGAGAGGGGACAGTGCAGAGGTCCGGGACACGGGTCAGACGTGGCCACCTCCCCCAGAAGACTGAGCCTGTTCTCAAACCACCTTGGCCCTCCCCCCCATGGCAACTCACCCCCCTTTTGTGAACAAGAGGCCCCAGCCTCGTGAGGAGCAGCCTTCAGGGGAGAGGTGGAGAGCGCAGGTGTGTGTGGGGGCAGCGGTGTCAGGTGAGCCCCGGGAACCAGCACCCTGTGTTTCCGCGTTCCCTGCAGGTGTTTTAGCTTCCCTCTGGAGCTGCGGGGTTGGGCCTCCATCTGGAGTGCACTGGGCTTGCTCAGAGCTTACCCAGGACACCCCAGCATCTGCCACTGCAGGCAGTGGAGCCCGCCTCCACCCCCAGTCAAGCCAAGGAGCCTTCTTCCCCCAGGGCCCCCATGCAGGACCCCAGTCCCACTACCCACACTGCACAACCAACACCACTGGGGGCTGCACCATTCTGACCAAACACGGCCCCCTAGGAGCCTGGGATTTCTCCCGTCAGGGCTGCAGGTCATCCCCAGGAGCCAGGACGCAACTCCCCGCAGCACCAGGTGGACCAGAATACATTCCTGAGGGCAGCACCAGCACACAGGGGTGGGGCAGCCTGGCTGCCCTCACTGCCCCTCCCACATCATATCCACATAGGCCCAGCTCCACTGGACCCAGATTGAATTTCCCTACCCAGTCAGATGCCAAGCAAACCTCGAAGGATAATGGGGTTTCCAGGCAGAATGGCCCATGACAGACACTGGGCGGACTTAGACCCAGGGCGTGAGTATGCTCCGACAGCAGTGCGTGATGCGCGCTTCCCAGACTGCGCCCGGTTGGCATCGCGTGGCTGGGAGAATGTTTATAGATAAAGGCTCGGTTTGCAGCCCAAGAAAAACGCCCACGGGAAAGATCCCACTGGCAAGTCTTTCTAAGAACCATCTGCACGGGTGGGTTGAGGTGTCCTCAGTGCTCCGGGGTGTTGGTGACCCAGCCCCCACATGGGGGTCCCCTCAGCTCCTCCCCACTGCCCAGCAGTGGGTGGCAGCCAGCAAGGGCAGGGGCATCCCTGGAGCCGGGAGAAGTGGGATTCAGGGTATGACAGGCTGTGCTGCCTCCTCCAGGGGCTGGAATGGTCCCCTCCCCCTCCAGCCCCCGCCTCCGTGCTGGAAATCTGGACAGGTGCACGCCCTGTGGGGACTAAGGCCGATGCAGGCGCAGAGCAGGTGTTCCTGAAGCACCCGTCCCGCAGCGCCCAGGGGCTTCCCCGCCCATCCGGAAACTGAGCCTCAGAGAGCTGAGCAGCTCAGAAGCCCGGCCCCAGGACAGGCCAGAGCGGTGGAGTATGGAGTCTATCACTGCCCCTGGGTCTCTCAGGGAGCCGAGGAGCAGAGCGGTCGCACTGGCGGATGGAGGGGGAAGCAGCCGCCTCTAGTCCCGGCTGCAGATGGAAGCAGGCAGCTTGGGCAGCACTGGCCAGGCCTGTTGGAGCAGGGAGTTTGGATCTTTC